ACTCAGGAGGCTGAGGCAGGAGAATCTCTTGAACCTGGGAGGCAGAGGTTGCAGTGAGCCGAGATTGCACCATTGCACTCCAGCCTGGGCAACAAAAGCAAAATTCTGTCTCAAAAAATAATAATAATAATAATGTACATAATATGATTTGTGATGTGCTTTTCTCATTTTGTCTGCAAATATTTCAGCTATGTCTGAAAGATAAGGATTCTTCTTAAACATAAACATGAAACCATTATTGCACCTAAAATGAATAATAATTGTTTCATTATCACCAACAGAGACAACTACTGTTCAGGTCTTATGTGACTTCCCAGAGATAGTCTAAGTACCTAGAAATAGCTACTTAATTTTCCTCTCCCCCTCACTCAAACGCTGGCACGGTGAACGCGGTATTTTGCCCTGGGGGCTACCATTTAAGTGAGTCTCCTTTCAGCTGCCATAGATGTCTCTGTGAACAGGGCCAGATAGGGTTCTGGTGTCCAGTTCTGAGGGCTCACAAGGCTTGGTCTTTGTTGCATATTTTTAGTCTTTGAACTGAAAATCTGCCAACAACTAAACAGGTGTTAGCAGCCTCATTCTCAACTGTTTCCATGGTTGCTCATGCAAAGAGCAGAGCTGCCGGCAGTTGAGACCAGCAGACATGGGGTTCTCAGGCAGAATTCAGGCCTTCTCCAACTTTGCACTGTGTAGGGAAAAGAAAGAGAGATCAGACTGTTACTGTGTCTATGTAGAAAGGGAAGACATAAGAAATGCCATTTTGACTTGTACCTTGAACAATTGCTTTGCCCTGAGATGCTGTTAATCTGTAACTTTGCCCCAACCTCTTTGCCCCAAACTTGAGCTCATAAAAACATGTGTTGTATGGAATCAAGGTTTAAGGGACCTAGGGCTGTGCAGGATGTGCCTTGTTAACAAAATGTTTACAGGCAGTATGCTTGGTGAAAGTCATCGCCTTTCTCTAGTCTCGATAAACCAGGGGCACAATGCACTGGGGAAAGCTGCAGGGACCTCTGCCCTGGAAAGCCGGGTATTGTCCAAGGTTTCTCCCCATGTGATAGTCTGAAATACGGCCTCGTGGGATGGGAAAGACCTGACTGTCCCCCAGCCTGACACCCGTGAAGGGTCTGTGCTGAGGAGGATTAGTAAAAGAGGAAAGCCTCTTGCAGTTGAGATAGAGGAAGGCCACTGTCTCCTGCCTGCCCCTGGGAACTGAATGTCTCGGTATAAAACCCAATTGTACATTTGTTCAATTCTGAGATAGGAGAAAAACCGCCCTGTGGCGGGAGGCAAGACACGTTGGCAGCAATGCTGCTTTGTTATTCTTTACTCCACTGAGATGTTTGGGTGGAGAGAAGCAAAAATCTGGCTTACGTGCACATCCAGGCATAGTACCTCCCCTTGAACTTATTTGTGACAGATTCCTTTGCTCACATGTTTTCTTGCTAACCTTCTCCCCACTATCACCCTGCTCTCTTGCCACATTCCCCTTGCTGAGATAGTGAAACTAGTAATCAATAAATACCGAGGGAACTCAGAGACTGGTGCCAGTGCGGGTCCTCCTTATGCTGAGTGCCGGTCCCCTGGGCCCACTGTTCTTTCTCCATACTTTGTCTCTGTGTCTTATTTCTTTTCTCAGTCTCTCATCCCACCTGACGAGAAATACCCACAGGTGTGGAGTCGCTGGTCCCTTCAACATTGACCCTTGAAGAAATGCTTTATTTATGTATTTATTTTGAGATGGAGTTTCGCTCTTGTTGCCCGGGCTGGAGTGCAATGGCATGATACCAGCTCACCGCAACCTCTGTCTCCCAGGTTCAAGTGATTCTCCTGCCGCTGCCTCCTGAGTTGCTGGGATTACAGGCATGTGCCACCACGTCTGGCTAATTTTGTGTTTTTCGTAGAGATGAGGTTTCTCCATGTTGGTCAGGCTGGTCTCAAACTCCCAATCTCAGATGATGTGCGTGCCTCGGCCTCCCAAAGTGCTGGGATTACAGGCGTGAGCCACTGCGCCCGGCCTTAAAAAATGCTTTTTATTTTATTTTATTTTATTTTTTTTGTTGAGACGGAGTCTCGCTCTGTCCCCCAGGCTGGAGTGCAGTGGCGTGATCTTGGCTCACTGCAAGCTCCGCCTCCCGGGTTCACACCATTCTCCTGCCTCAGCCTCCTGAGTAACTGGGACTATAGGCGCCCGCCACAGCACCCGGCTAATTTTTTGTATTTTTTAGTAGAGACGGGGTTTCACCATGGTCTCGATCTCCTGACCTTGTGATCCGCCCGCCTCAGCCTCCCAAAGTGTTGGGATTACAGGCATGAGCCACTGCGCCCGGCAAAAAAAATGCTTTTTAAACTGACAATCCTATGTGATCTGACACAGAAAGATAATATTTTGCAATAGAGGTTGATCCAAAAAGTCAGGGATGTGTTCCCTGGAATGCTCTGGAGTAAAGTCCAGAGCCTAGGTCACCTTGGTCCACTCTTAGAACCAGTCCTACCCCACCATCAGCCTTCAGGCCCCATAGCCCCGCTCCCCCCAGCTCCTGCCATCCCTCCCCAGTCAGGTCTGTCCCATCCCTACGATCACCAAGACCTGCCTTCAGAAGGCCTTTCCCACCAGCTCCTGCCCCCTCAGCCTCCTCTTTCCTCTCCTTCCATTAATCGATCAACCCACGTGCACTGAGAACTTGACCCTATAAGGAGTCCAGTAGACAGGGAAGGGAGCTAGGAGGTTGAACTTGTTCAAAGCTAAGCTCCAGAGAACAACAAATAAGAATGAACCAATGCACTTGAGACATGTCATCTGTAAAATGGATATTACAAAATATAATGGATTTAACAGTGCTTTGTCGTCTGTAAAGTGCCCTACAAGCATAAGGGACTTGAATTTTTACGAGGACAGTGATAACTTAAAAGTGGGACCTGAGAGCTGATCATTAATTTTACAAATTAATTTTTAATGACAAAAGTGGTACGTATTCATTTTAAAGGATATATAAATACATGAAACATGTGAATAAACAAAAACAGAAAAATTCTCATAGCCTTATTAGAGTGTCATATCTTCTATTATTTATATAGTATATTCTATACTATATATACTATCTAATATACTACATATAGAATATACTGTATTATTTATATAGTATATTCCCATGAGACCTGTTTCTGTGGGAGAACAGTGGTCCCCTTGATGACAAATTTTGGCATGTGACTTACTCTGGACGGGTTTATGTAATTGAATACAGCATGCGCCCCTCTGAGCAGAAGCTTTAAAAACCTCTGTGTGGTTCTGCCATCTTTTTTCCCCTTTGGTCATGGGACCAGAAGATCTCAGGTGAGGGCTTTCCATCTTCCTGGCCCCTGGAATGAAGAGCCCTGTGAAGAACATGTACGGTGGGGGAGAGAGAAACGTTTACTGCTGTAAGCCCCTGAGACGTGGGGATTGTTTGCTACTGCAGCATAATTTGCCTTAAGATATCTGATAACCCAAAGAGATAACAACCATTAATATTTTGACCTACATGCTTTCATCTTTTTTCTGTGACTTTATTCTGTGTATGTTTTCTTTATAAAAATAAGGTCATAATGTACATACGATTTGTGACATGCTTTTCTCATTTTGTCTGCAAATATTTCAGTTATATCTCTAAAAAATAAGGATTCTTCTTAAACATAAACATGAAACCATTATTGCACCTAAAATGAATAATAATTGTTTCATTATCAACAAATATTAGTCATTGTAACCATTTCTCCAACTTTAAAAAATATATATGGTTTAAATCAGGAATCCAAATAAGATCTATACTTTGCAGTTGGTTGATGTGTCTTAAATCTCTGTTTATCTTTAGATTCTCCCTCTCCTTCTCTCTCTCTTTTATCCCCTTGTAATGTATTTGTTGAAAAAACTGGACAAGTTGTTCTGTAGAGTTTTCCACAGTCTGGATTTTGCTGATCATGTTCCCATGGTGTCTTTAGCAGGTTCCTCTTTCCCCTGTATTTCCCGTAAATTGCTGATTAAATGTAGAGGCTTAATCAGATCCAATAAACAGATTTTAAAACTCAATACATTATAAACATTTTCCATTTCATGTAATATTCTTCTACAACATGTGTTTTAAGTATTTTAAGTGTCTATAGAGCTGTCAACTGTATGAATGTATGATACGTATTTAGTTAGTCCCATAAGTATCTCATTGCTTTAAGTCGACTGTATGAATGTATGATATGTATTTAGCTAGTCCCGTAAGTATCTCATTGCTTGAAGTCAATTGTATGAATGTATTATATGTATTTTAGCTAGTCCTATAAGTATCTCATTGCTTTAAGTTGACTCTATGAATGTATGATACGTATTTAGCTAGTCCCATAAGTATCTCATTGCTTTAAGTCGACTGTATGAATGTATTATATATATTTAACTAGTCCTGTAAGTATCTCATTGCTTTAAGTCGACTGTATGAATGTATGAGCTTTAAGTCGACTGTATGAATATATGATATGTATTTAGCTAGTCCTGTAAGTATCTCATTGCTCTGAGTCGACTGTATGAATGTATTATACGTATTTAGCTGGTCCCATAACTATCTCATTGCTCTAAGTCGACTGTATGGTTGTATGATATGTATTTAGCTGGTCTCATAAGTATCTCATTGCTCTAAGTCGACTGTATGATTGTGTTATATGTATTTAGCTAGTCCCGTAAGTATCTCATTGCTTTAAGTTGACTGTATGAATGTGTGATATGTATTTAGCTAGTCCTGTAAGTATCTCACTGCTTTAAGTCGACTGTATGAATGTATTATATGTATTTAGCTAGTCCTGTAAGTATCTCATTGCTTTAAGTCGACTGTATGATTGTATTATATGTATTTAGCTAGTCCTGTACTGTTGGATATTTAGGTTGTTTCCAATTTTTGGCTACTACACACAACTCACTGATAAACCTCCTCGTGGACTCACATTTTCTGGCCTCCTTTCCGCCCTTTCTATTCCATCAGTTCCTGCGGATGGTGGATGCCTGTGCCAGCTTCCTCACTGAAGCCTTGAACCCAGAAAACTGCGTTGGAATACTGAGGCTGGCCGACACACACTCGCTGGACAGTCTAAAGAAGCAGGTTCAGAGTTACATCATTCAAAACTTTGTGCAGATTCTGAACTCTGAGGAGTTCCTTGACCTGCCTGTGGACACTCTTCACCACATCTTGAAGAGTGATGACCTTTACGTGACCGAGGAAGCTCAGGTGTTTGAGACCGTGATGAGCTGGGTCCGGCACAAGCCATCAGAACGACTCTGCTTACTCCCCTATGTCCTCGAGAACGTGCGCTTACCGCTTCTGGACCCGTGGTACTTTGTGGAGACGGTGGAAGCAGATCCTCTCATCAGGCAGTGCCCAGAGGTCTTCCCGCTGCTCCAGGAAGCCAGGATGTACCACCTTTCTGGTAATGAGGTGAGTAGAAGATAAGAGGTGCTATATTTAACCAGTGAAGTAGGGAGTTAGCTAGGGGCTTGCAGAGATGCAAGTGAAGCAGATTCAAAAATGCCTGGGCGACAGAGCGACACTCTGTCTCGAAAAAAAAAAAATGCTTAGGGCATTAAGGAGAAAACACTGCCTGTTCATTGCTGGGTAGGGCAGTTCCAGAAGCCCTGATTCCCGATCTATGAAGCTGATGCCATGTGTTCAGACAGTTACTGAGTATATTGGGTGACATGTAGAAATCACCCAGCACCACACCTGGCCCATGCCTCCTCTTCCTGGTCATGGAAGGGTGGGAGGTTGGGGGGCACACTGCACACAGAAACAAGAACGTGCCCTGGGCTGGGTGCAGTGGCTCACGCCTGTAATCCCAGCACTTTGGAAGGCCAAGGCGGGCAGATCACGAGGTCAAGAGATCCAGACCATCCTGGCCAACATGGTGAAACCCCGTCTCTACTAAAAATACAAAAAATTAGCTGGGCATGGTGGCGCATGCCTGTAGTCCCAGCTACTCAGGAGACTGAGGCAGGAAGATCGCTTGAACTTGGGAGGCAGAGGTTGCAGTGAGCCGAGATCAGGCCACTGCACTCTAGCCTGGGCGACAGAGGGAGACTCTGTCTCAAAAAACAAAACAAAACAAAACAAAACAAACAACAAGAACATGTCCTGTCTAGTCACTATTCCATGGGGGTGCTGTTCTTCCTTGCCCACTCTGGTGAAACGTTGCGTCTCTTAGATATACTCTGACATCACTTTGATTTAGACTCTTACTATCTGAATTTCTGGAAATTTCTCAAAACTCATCTCCCTGCTCCACATCTGGCCTCCCTCCAATTTATTCACCAGCTGAGAGATCTGAAACTCAAGTCTGATCCTCTTGCTCTTGGGCTTGCCTTCTCCATTGGCTCCCCATCACTTTCAGAATAAAGCCCATACTTCCTGCCTACATTCCCAGAGCCTGGTCTTGCATCATTAACCTCCTGCCTGCTTCTCTAGTGTCCTCTCCAACCTCCTGCTTCTGCTGTAGTCCTAATGCACAGCTTGTGGTTCCCCAAAGTGGATGTGCTTTTTCTGCCTCCAGATCAATATGAATGTTGTTCAAGTGCTTTTCTCTTCTTCTTCATCTAGCTGACTTCTACTCCTGCTTCAAAACTCAATCCAAGCATCACCTTCTCCAGAGACTTCTCCTTTTATTTGTTTGTTTATTTATTTATTTATTTATTTTTGAGATGAGGTCTTGCTCTGTTGCCCAGGCTGGAGTACAGTGGTACAATTGTAGCTCACTGCAGCCTCGACCTCCCAGGCTCAAGTGATCCTCCCACCTTAGCCATCCAAGTAGCTGGGACTACAGGCATGTGCTACCACACTCGGCTAATTTTAAATTTTTTTGTAGGGACAAGATCTCACTATGTTGCCCAGGCTGGTCTTGAACTCCTAAGCTTAAGTGATCTTCCCATCTCAGCCTCCCAAAGTGCTAGGGTTACAGGTGTGAGCCACCACACCCAGCCACTGTCCATGTTCTCATAGCACTTGGTGCATTGCTCCATCACAGCACCAGTTGCTGCATGGAAACCATCTGAATATATCACGTGTAAATATCTCTAGACTGGGAGCTTGTAATAGTAGGAAATGTATCTTATTGCACTTTTCATCTCTAGATCTTAGAAAAGAGTCCTAAGACTACTATATAGTGAATGAGTAATTAGTAAATGCTTGTTGAATGATTAAATTGGTACTATGAATGGTGAATAAACATATTATTTGGATCTACCTGGTTCTCCTTAACAATTCCTGAAGAAGATTTTTCTTCAGAACTTTGTAAAGACAAGAATAAATTTAGTGGAGAGGAAGTAATGAGATAGGGACAGTTTGTTAACAGTTTGTACACATGAAGACCCATACTTATATCTCACTATGCAATGGTTCTGGGATTAGCTACCAAGCTTTCTTCATTAGGCTATCGGTAGAAGCCTTAGCCAAACATGGCTCAGGAATTGTCTGTCTGAGGTTCTTTTGGAGTTTCTCCCTTTTTCTGTGTTCTTTTCTAGTCTTTTTTTTTTTTTTTTTTTTTTTGTGGTCCTTAGATCCACTGTTCATTCATTCACTCTGCAAACATACCCTTCAATGTTTAGTAGAATTTACCAGAGCCTGGTGTTTTCTTTGTGGAAAGTTTTTAAACTATAATGTATATTTCTTTAATAGATATAGGACTATTTAGGATCTCTGTTTCTTCTAGAATGAACTTTGATAGTTTGTGCCTCAAATAATTTTTTCATTTAATATAAGTTGCTGAATGTATTGACATAAAGTTGTTTAGAGCATTCCTTTATTATCTTGTTAATACCTGCAGAATCTATAGTGTTGTCACATCTCTCATTCCAGATATTGGTAATTTGTTTCTGCCCCCTTTTTTTTTTTCCTGATCAATCTGGTTAGAGGCTTATCAATTTTATTGATTTTTCTCAAATGACTAATGTCTAGTTTCATTTGATTTTCTCCATTGTTTTTCTCTTTTCTATTTCACTTATTTCCACTCTGATCATTATTTTCTTTCTTTCTGCTTAGTTTGGGTTTAATTTACACTTATTTCTCTAGTTTCTTAAGGTGGAAGTGGAGGCCACTGATTTGAGACTTTCTTTCTTTCTAATATTGGCTTTCATGCTATAAATTTCCCCCTTAAAACTATGTAAACAGCATCCCATGTAGTTAAGCATGCTATGCCTTCATTTTTTGCAAATAAATCCTGAACACCAACTCTATGCCAGATATGGCACCAGGTTCTGCAAAATAGTCTGTGTCTTACCCAGGTACTGCTAAACAGTCTGTGTGTCAGAGAAGATGGGACATTTAACAAATGAAGGGTGATGAGTGGATTGATGGGGGAAGTCTAGGAAACCACATAGGCTTTATTCTATGCTGGATGTCTAGCAGACAGCCTGCATATAATTGCAGACAGTTCTCAGTCTCTGCAACTGCCCTCAGTTCAGCATTTATTCAGTGTCTCCCCTGGAATACTACACAGCCATGAAAAAGAATGCAATCATGTTTTTTGCAACAGCATGGATGGAGCTGGAGGCCATTATCCTAAGTGAACTGACACAGGAACAGAAAACCACATAATGCATATTTTCACTTATAAGTGAGAGCTAAAATTTGAGTATACATGAACACAAAGAAGGGAACAAAAGATACCAGGGCCTACTTGAGGGTAGAGGATGAGAGGAGGGTGAGGATTGAAAAACTACCTATCAGGTACTATGCTTATTACCTGGATGATGAAATAATCTGCACACCACCCCCCACGACACACAATTTACCTATATAACAAATCTGCACATGCTCCTGAACCTAAAATAAAAGTTAAAAGAAATAAATAGCACTTTAAAACAATTTAAACATAAACAGTGCCTTGCTCAACTATACTTCCAATATTTTTGCTATTTTTGTTTCTGCTTCCTATTTTCTAAATCCTTGGAATGCAGATGATAAAGGCGTTTTTCTGATAGAAAAGGTCCCTACCCTGTCTTCTGCACAATTGCTGCAATGAAATATTTTCATTGCCTTTTGTATTTCCAAGGTGCTGGGGGCAGAGTCAGACATTATAAGCTTTAGATTTAGGAGGAGAGAGAATTCTGACATCTGGAAAATTCTTCAGTGGTGAGAACCTGGGCTTTGAATCAGGCAGAGATCTGGGTGTTAATCTTGACTGCACAATTTTTTTACAGTGTAACCTGAGGCAATTACTTAACTATGCTAAGGCACAGTTCTGATCTGTAACATGGGGATAATAATATCTACCAATTGATAGAACTGTTTTGAGAATTAAGTAATGAATCTCTCACAATCAATCCTTCTCTGGGGTTAAAATCAGTCTTTTCACTGTGTCCCAGGTTTTTGTGGCCTTAATTTCCCAAATCCTTCTCAAGGCACTTTCTCATCCTCATTTTATAGTTTGGGCAACTGAACCAACCAACCAACCACCATGACCTCCTAATTGGGGTCTCATTCATTGCCAGTTGATTCCCTGAGAATCCAGTCTGCTCACTGCTGGAAGGGTCTTGGGTTGACTCCTCATGGCAGTAGCGTGAGCCTGGAGGCTACTCTGTGAACACACTTCTCCCCGTACCCTTCATTTACCAAACTTTAACCCTCTTGTCCTATCGTCATCTTTCCCATTTGTTTGTTTGCTTTTTTCTTCAGATAGACTTTCGCCCTTGTTGCCCAGGCTGGAGTGCAAGGGCGTGATCTTGGCTCACTGCAACCTCTGCCTCCCAGGTTCAAGAGATTGTCCTGCCTCAGCCTCCCGAGTAGATGGGATTACAGGCATGTGCCACCACCCCTGGCTAAGTTTGTATTTTTAATAGAGATGGGGTTTCTCCTTGTTGGTCAGGCTGGTCTCAAACTCCTGACCTCAGATCTGCCCGTCTCAGTCTCCTAAAGTGCTGGGGTTACAGGAGTGAGCCACCGTGCCCAGCCCATCTTTCTCTTTTAACCTTGTCCATCCTCTAAACTGATATTAACAACAGGAAATTTTAGAACACCAAAAGCAAATGTCAATCTCTATTTGATTTGGGAATGGTAGCTGGAACCTTCATTGAAAGAGATATTTGGGGACAGAGGGAAATTTGCCTCTTCACTTAATTGCCTCTTAAGTTTTCAGACATGAACCTGGTCTATACCAAAGGTTACTCTGACATGTGTGATGTGGGAAAAGGGGAGCAGAGGCTCCAGCCCAAGGATAGCTTTGCTGAAACAATATGCTCACTGTGTCCCCTAGTATAAGATCTGTGGACAGTTGAGCAGTCACTGAGGTGCAATTATCTGCTCTGTTTTTAACAATCTGAAAATAAACTGGTTATGCCTGATTGTTGCATGCCGTTCATTGGCAAACACTTCGGCATGTCTGCAACAAACTGGCACACCTCAGACTTCAGATTGACATTTGTTATGACATTGGGGCTAATATTTTGCCACATGTAGCTGAACTTACAATGTGGTAATGGTGCCACCACTTGGCAGTCCCATGGTGCTGAGTTCTAAGACAGGTCTCGCTACCCAGCCAAGCCCATCAGCCAGATGATTGTGTTAGTTCTCAGTTGCTGCATAACAAATTACCCACAAACTGAAAAGTTTAAAATAACAAACACTTACTATCTAACAGGCTCTGAGTGTCAGGGATCTAGGAGTGGTTTAGCTGGGTGCTTCTAGCTCAGGGTCTCTTACGAAGCTGCAGTAAAGCTGTTGGCTGGGGCTGCAGTGATCTCAAAGTTCAAATGGGATTCAGGCTCACTCACTGGACTGTTGGCAGGCATCAGATCCTTGCTGGCTGCTGGTTAGGAGCCTCAGTTTCTTGCCATGTGGGCATCTCTATAACAGCTGGCCTCCCCCAGAGCAAATGACCTAAGAAAGACTGAGAGAGTAATCAGGATGCAAGCTGGTAGTGCCTTTTATAGCCTAATTTCAGAAGTGATGTATCATCACTTCTGCTGTAATCTGTTGGTCATAGAGACCAATTCTAGAACAGTGTGGAGGGAACTACACAGATGTGAATACCAGGAAGCAGGGATCACTGGGGCTATCATGGATGCCTACTACCACAGTGATTTAGACTGAGTTACCCAGCTTGCCCATTCATTCACTCATCCATTCACTCATTTTTTTTTTTTTTAATTTTTTGAGATGGAGTTTTGCTCTTGTTGCCCAGGTTGGAGTGCAATGGTGCGACCTCGGCTCACTGCACCCTCTGCCTCTCAGGTTCAAGTGATTCTCCTGCCTCAGCCTCCTGAGTAGCTAGGATTACAGGTGCCCACCACCACACCTTGCTAATTTTTTAAATTTTCTTTTTTATTTTTAGTAGAGATGGGGTTTCACCATGCTGGCCAGGCTGATCTTGAACTCTTGACCTCAGGTGATCCACCTGCCTCGACCTCCCAAAGTGCTGGGATTGCAGGCATGAGTCACTGCACCCAGCTCACTCGCTCATTTAATCAATGTTTATAGATGCCCACAAGCTCCAGGTACTATTGTTGGTGCTGAGGATCCATTGGAGAAAAAGGGCTGTTCCTGCCATCAGGGGCCTTACAGTAAATTACAGTGAAGCATGAAAAGTGCTGTTGTGGGGGAAATTCAGGGTCATGGGAATGTGTGCAAAGTTAGGAATGGCTTCCTGGAGAAAAGGACAAAGTGACGTGGTAAATTACTCAAATGCCTTAAAGGGGTAAGTGGATTGGGGTGGTAGCATGGAAAATTAAGAATAGAATATTATGGGGAGATCCAGACAGCAGGCAGGAAACCAGGAATTTTAGCCAGTAGGAGGACAGCCTTTCATAGGTCAGGACCAAGGAATGAGATGCCAGACCTGGAGGTCAGGAGGTGAGATCACGGCTAGTCCAGTCCTTGTAGCAGCCTCTCAATTACCCAGCAGGTTATTGGGGCAGGAGAGCAGGCATTACAAATAAAATGAGGGGAGCTTCAGAGTGGAGGCTGAGGCCTGGTTCCCAGAACTGAAGAAAGGGTCACAAGGGAATCAATTCAGGGAGGCCAGTACTGTTTTCTAAGCATTGCCCTGCAGCACCTAAATCCCCTCTGAAAGAGGACCGGATAGACTGGTGCTGGAGGTTGTGCCTCAGCTGTGGGGAATGAGGTTTAGGGACAGGAACTACGGCTGATAGCTGAAGAGAAAGTTGCAGAGCAGCAAAGTTTGTCTTTGGTGCCATTGCCCAGATCCTGTCCTGCCAGCTTGGTGCTCTCATGGTGCCCCCAAGTTCCCTGGCTCACCCCTTCACCCTTATCCCAGCACCGTTCTGCTGTCCACACTGTCAGGGCCAGCCCATTGCCTAGGCTTTGTCCAGTCACACCTATCCCCATTCTGCTGACCCATAAGGAACTGCCCTGCCACAAACTTTATGGCCATGGTTCAGCCTCAAGATCGGAGGATGCAGAATTCACCGTACCAGGCTCCTAGGCACAGAAAACCAACCAACCAGCCAAAGACTGTTATGGAAAATTAGAGGCTGGGAGCTGGCTGGTCTGATTATTTGTGGCTCTTGGTTGGATTCACTGTTTGAGGGCTCAGTCTTCGCTGCTGTAACCTATTTGTCACCACCTATGGGCAGAATCGGAGTTCTGTAGTCTGTGTTAAATCAGTCTAATTTTGTAGGAAAATTGGCGACTCTGGCCATCTGGGAAATGGTGGCTGCCTCTCTGCCTCCCATCAGCACACTATGGAACCTTCATCATGGAGCCCAGGAGATCAATGGAACCAAGAAGGGCAGCTCTTCCTTTTATAGCAGTATCAATATGGCATCTACCGCTGCTCCTACAGGCATAATTAGCTGTTGAGGGGCGAGTGTGTGCCAGGTGCTCTGTTCACACCTCTACCTCATGACCTCATGAATGCTCACAGTCATCTGAGAGCACAGAAATGATTACAAGCAGTCTACAGAGGTCGTGTTACTTCTCCAAGGTCACATGGCCACAGGTGATAGAACGCTGGTACATTTGACTTTCGAACCTCTGCTCTTTCAGCAGGGTTCAAATACCCATAGGTCATTTACTGTATGTTGGAACCAGCCTTCCTCCCTCCCTGGCCACACCCTGATTCCTTCTAGTTCTTGTTTCCTAAGTCACTGAATGCTCGTATGTCATCACTGTCCAGGATGTCTCTTCCAGAAGGCTGATGGTGAGCAAAGTCTGAGGTCTCATCAAGAAATTAAAGCCAAGGGGGAATGGAAAGTAGCCCAAAATGAAATTCCAGGATTTAAGGTTTCAGACTAGGCAGGAGAGGAAAGGCAGGAAGGGCATCTGATGGTACACAGACCCCGATCTCTTAAAACAGCAGTAAAAACAGGTAACATTTATTGAGTACCTGTTATGCACCAGGCCCTGGGTGAAGCACACTCTATACATTATCCCATTTAATCCTCACAACACACGTATGAGGTAGTTACCTCTAATATCCTCATTATACAGATGATGAAACTGAGGCTCAGGGAGGTGAAGTCAGATGGTCATACCATGGCAGATGTGGGAATTGGACCCAGCTCCTAATGGCTCCATAGCCCGAGCTCTGAAACTTTGTGTTTCCTGCCTTTATGTGCCCACATTGATTTCCAGATCATTTCGGAGCGCACCAAGCCCAGGATGCATGAGTTCCAGTCTGAGGTGTTCATGATCATCGGTGGCTGCACGAAGGATGAACGGTTTGTGGCAGAGGTGACCTGCCTGGACCCCCTGAGGCGCAGCCGCCTGGAGGTGGCCAAGCTCCCGCTAACGGAGCATGAGCTGGAGAGTGAGAATAAGAAGTGGGTGGAGTTTGCATGCGTGACATTGAAAAATGAGGTCTACATCTCAGGTAAGCAGGAGTCATGTAAAGCCACAGCAAGCCCCAGTAGCACTACATATGTTCCTGAGTGGCAACCAGGCAACCATCCTAGAATTACTGTGAATTGGCAATGATCTGGCTCTGACTGAGACAGGATATGGACCCAGGAGCTCAGGTGGTCTCATCTTGGAGGGTACATTGCTCCTTAATAAACACCAAACTGAGCAGCATTGTGCTATTCTTTTCTTTTCTTTTCTTTTTTAAGACAGAGTCTCACTCTATTGCTCAGGCTGGAGTGCAGTGGCACAATCTTGGCTAGCTGCAACCTCTGCCTCCTGAGTTCAAGTGATCCTCCTGCCTCACCTTCCCAAGTAGCTGGGATTACAGGTGCCTGCCACCATGCCCAGCTAATTTTTGTATTTTTAGTAGAGACGGGATTTCACCATGTTGGCCAGGCTGGTCTTGAACTCCTGACCACAGGTGATCCACGGGCCTCGGCCTCCCAAAGTGCTGGGATTACAGGCGTGAGCCACCTTGTCTGGCCAGCATTAATAGAAAACCTGGAGAGGAGGCAGACAAGTCCAGTCCTTCACGGAAAAAGAAGAGGGAAAGTGGTAAGGGTTTATTCAGTGTCTGCTATAGGCATAGGCCCCTGAGCTACGCAGTGGGAATTCAGTAATGAGTAAACACATCTGCTCTTCCCCCAAACCTGACCCCTCCCATGTTTATTAGGTTGTACTTGGGTATACTTCAGTAGGACCCAATACTTTTTCATTAGGAAAATGTTTGCTTCAGTATTGATAGTTACTTCGTGTCTATCTTTCCCATTAGACCTGAAGTTCCATGAGGGGTAACACTATAGCCCCTGTACCTAGCACTGTGCCTGACCTCCGGGTAAATGTTCAGTAAATATTTATTGAATGACACAGTCTCAACCATCTTTACTGAGTGGTAGATACATTTATACTTTAACAACATTTAATTGTTTGCCTCTCACATCAGCTCTATAAGATAGGGGTTTTTAGGGTAGGAGAAAACAGAGGCGCAGAAAGATTCTTGAACATACCTAAGGTTGCACACTGGTAGGTGTCAGGCAGGACTTCAATCCAAGTTCTGAGCCTAATGTCCATGCTCTCCCCATCACATCAAAAGCCACTTGGCTCCTCTCCCTGGGACCCTAAGGAAGGAGACAAGCTTCCCTTCCCCTTTCTTACAAGGCTTTTCTCCAATCTGAACTTGTTGAGAGGAAAGCGGCACCCCAAAGCGTGTTTCCTCCAAAATCAAGGACAGGTCGTCCTTTGGATGCATTCATATCGTTGATTAGGTTCTAGCTTTCTTTTCATCTTGCAGAATTTATTTTTATTTTTATTTATTTATTTATTTATTTATTTATTTTGAGACGGAGTCTAGCCCTGTTGCCCAGGCTGGAGTGCAGTGGCACGATCTCGGCTCACTGCAACCTCCGGCTCCCGTGTTCAAGCGATTCGCCTGCCTCAGCCTCCCAAGTAGCTGGGATTACAGGCGCGTGGCACCACATCTGGCTAATTTTTGTATTTTTAGTGCAGTCGGGGTTTCACTGTGTTGGTCAGGCTGGTCTTGTACTCCTGACCTTGTGATCCACCCGCCTCAGCCTCCCAAAGTGCTGGGATTACAGGCGTGAGCCACCACGCCCGGCCTTAATTGTTGTAGAAGATCCAAGCAATGCAGAGCAAGTAAAGTAAGAGGGCAGTTTCTCTGTGCCATCACAGTTCTATGGGTTTTCATTTTTTACAAAAATTATTTTCTGTTTGCTCAGGGTAAATCATTTTAGCTGCTGTTACAAATCCTAAGTCTCAGTGAATTAACACAATAGTATGCAGGGGTCAGGGGGAGGACGGTCTGTTCCATTCAGGTACTCAGGGGCCTAGGATCCTGCCATCTTGTGACACCGCTTCTTCCTACATGTGGACTTGATTTAGGGATGAGAAAAACGCTGAGGGAGTTGAGAAGTCACACCTGCTCACAAAAGCCTCAGCCTGGAAGGGCCATTGATTTTGCTCACGCTCCATTGGCAAAACCTAGCGACATGACCTCCCTTACCCTCCCCTCACCCCGTCTAGGTGCAGGGGGCTGGGAAATGTAGTTTAGCTATGTGCCCAGGAGGGATCAACAGGTGTGGTCATCATAGTCAGTCTTTGTCACATATACTACACGTGTTATTCTTTTTCTTTCTTTCTTTCTTTTTTTGTTTTTCTTGAGATGGAGTCTCACTGTTGTCCAGGCTGGAGTGCCATGGAGAGGTCTCAGCTCACTGCAACCTCTGCCTCCCAGGTTCCAGCGATTCTCCTGCCTCAGCCTCCTGAGTAGCTGGGATTACAGGCACATGCCATCATGCCTGGCCAATTTTTGTATCTTTGGTAGAGAGGGGGTTTCACCATGTTGGCCAGGCTGGTCTCAAACTCCTGACCTCAGGTTATCCACCCACTTCGGCCTCCCAAAGTGCTGGGATTACAGGTGCCCACCAACATGCCTGGCTAATTTTTGTATTTTTGGTAGAAACGGGGGTTCACCATATTGACAGGCTGGTCTCAAACTCCTGACCTCAGGTGATCTGCCTGCTTTGGTCTCCCAAAGTGCTGGGATTACAGGCATGAGCCACCGCGCCTGGCCCAATTATTTTTGTATTTTAAGTAGAGACAGGGTTTCACCATGTTGGCCAGGCTGGTCTTGAACTCCTGACTTCAGGTGATCCGCCCACCTCAGCCTCCCAAAGTGCTGGGATTACAGGTGTGAGCCACTGTGCCCAGCCCACATGTTATTCTTTTGTCATAAATTTGTTGTTCACTTTTTAATGATACAAGCAACACCTGAAAGCATGCTTGTTATACACAGTTAAATCAACAGAAACTTGTACTTCAATTAACAATATCATCTGGACAGGATGACATGTTGGTTTAATGAATATACATATTAACTGATATAGTTACTAATGCAAAGCACATCATGGGAGCTTAATTACGCTGGCCAGTATTATCACTACTGTTATTCTTTTTACCAGCTATTTGGTAGTCTACCAAATGGATAAACCATAATGTTTTTAGCTTTCTTTTTTTTTTAATCTCCTTAAAAAACACTGCAGTAGGCATTCTTAGACACTTATTTTTTCATACTTGCGCTGCTACTTGGAAAGTTTCCTGGAAGTGGTCATATGTGAATTGAGAATTTTGTATATATTGTGAAATTGTCCTACAGAAAAGTTGTACCAATTTACAGTCCAATCAGTGATGAGTGACAGTGCCCGTTTTCTATATCCTTGCTCACAATTTCTATTGTTAGTCATTTAAATTTTTAATAGACTAGAATGTTTGAATTTATACTCCTAGGTCATTAGTGAGGTTGAGCATAGTTTATATATTTACCAGATAATTGGATTTATTTTTTAAAAATTATCTGTTCACACTCTTTGACAGTTCCTATCAGTTTTTGTCTTTTTCTTACTAATTTTTTGGAGCCCTAATTATATATCCTTTGCTATTTGTGTTGCAAATATTTTCTCCTAGACTGTGGCTGTTTTTTAACTTTATATTTATATACTTGCTTTCTTTCCTATACAATTCCACATTTCATGTCATGCTTAGAAAACCCCTCCTAACCCCAAGGCCATTAACATAATATCCTATACATTCTCCAGTTACTTCTATAGCAGTAACATTTGAATTTTATTTTAAATGTAATGTAAAATGAGTATCTAACTTAATTTTTATCCAAACGAACAACCGATTGTTCTAATAACGTTTATTTAATGATCTGTATGTATTTTAGTCTGTTTCTGTGCTCTTGTCTTTAACTGATCAGTTTGTCTAGTACTGCACTGTTTGTATTAGGTTAGCTTTTTTGTATATTTTAATACTTGATAAGGAAAGCCTCCTTCTTCACTTTTCTTTTTCAAAAGTTTCTTAGAAATTTTTCCAAACTTACTCTTCCCAGTGAAATTTAGAATTATCTCATCAAGTTCCCCCCAAAAGTCCTGAAGGCACTGAGTATATAGATTAACCTAGGGAGGGTTGACATCTTCACAATAAGGTGTCTTCTCATTTATCATTTATGCACACCATATGCTTTTTTTTTTTTAGTCCTAAAATAAAATCATAGGTTTTAATAAAGTTTGCATATATTTCTTTGAAAATTTACAGTTATTTTATATTTATACTTTTTGACACTACCTAAATAGGATCAATGTTTTGAATAAATGGAGACCTTTGAAAGGTACCCCACCCAAAGAAAAATGGCCAAAGCATATGAACAAAAGATTCAAGGCAGAGGAAGCTCTGCTTCCCTCGTAGTAAGTGAAAACCAAACTGACAGAGTTTTTCTCCGTCAGACTTAATAAAATAAAAGAAAGGCAGGAAACAAAACCACCACCATCAACAAAAAGTGGGTATGAGGAAAAGTCAACCAGCACAGCTGTGGAGCATGCTTTGGCTGCACCTATAAAAACTCAGGGTGCACATGCCTTTGACTTAGAAAACCCACTTCTGGGTTCTGCACTAGAGAAACACCCCGACACAGAATGTGGTCAGTAATGTTCACTTCTCCACTATTGCACATATGTAAGTCTGGAAAGGAAATCTTTGCTTTAAGTAGTTGGCAGTACTCTGTGCTGATGGGAAAATGGAAACACAAAGCTGTTAAATATTTGATTAAAATCACCAAAAAAGTCAGTCCTCCTTTGTCTTTGTCTCTTTCCCCAGCTGCTGAATTACTTATTTTCTGTTTTTTAAGAGCGTTGTCTTCAAGAAAATATTTACCAGATCACTCTCAAATATCTATTGTGAGCATCTCGTACTTTTATAACAAAAAATAATTTAGAAATAGGATAAATCCCACTGACCTTTTTATACAGATCAGAGAGACACACCAAGAGAATGTTGTACGATTTCTTAGTGATTTTTCCAGGTCTGTATCTTTGCTTTTTTGTTTAAATAATTAAGTAAACATAGAACTTAAGCTGCCATGTAATTTGCCTTCTGCACAAACCCCACTGTCCCCACCCAGCCTTACTTCCTGCTCCTTGTGAGCGCAAACACTGAGTCCAGACTCGCTCTGGCCCCTACCCACCCAGGCTGGCTTCAGTCCTGCCCCCCTGAAGCCTTCTTGGGGCCCTGCTCACTTAGCCACCTCTTCTCTGAACTCTCACAGCACTGAGGTGGCACAAGACACAGTGCGGTACATCATCCCTTCTGCCTCTCCCTGTTCCCCTGCGTTTGCCTCATCTCCCCTGACAGACAGCACACACTAGCCGGGTTTCTTATATCTCCCCTCAGGGTAGGGCTGGTCTGGGGACTTGGCACTTTTGGATATGTGGGATATTATGGGAGAAGCTGTATTTCTGACGCATCTGATGGTTTCTTAAATGCTTTGTATCTCTTGCAGGTGGCAAAGAAACACAGCATGATGTTTGGAAATATAATTCTTCGATCAACAAGTGGATTCAGATTGAGTATTTAAACATAGGCCGCTGGAGGCATAAGATGGTGGTGTTGGGTGGCAAGGTTTATGTTATTGGAGGCTTCGACGGCTTACAGAGAATCAACAACGTGGAGACCTACGACCCCTTTCACAACTGCTGGTCAGAGGTATAGGAGACGATTTCTACCAGTAACTGCCTGTATTATTACTTCAATGCTTTTTTAGAAAGCTTTGGAACGTGCCTATCATGGTGGCCAGCTTTCTGATCACTTTACTCCCAAGGAGAACATTTTTGGTGGCTCTGAGCTTCCCTCCTCCTAGAGCTATTGCTTCAGTATCGCTGATCAAATCACAGAAACAATGTCCTTCCAAGTGGTGAAGGTCTGTGTGGGCACCTGTCCTAATTTGGACAGAATCCCAGATGTGGACGGAGACTTACCTTGTCCTTAGATGGGAGATCTCTTGGTCTGCATGTCTTGACGTAGAGTCTTGTCTCCTCAGATGCCTTGTCTCCTATTCTTCTCCACACTGGACACATGCGGATCACTTTACTATACCGTTTATGAACCCAGAGTGATTTGGTCATGTTAGAAGTCATCCCTTCTTTATTTTCCCATTGATGATGAGCCACTTGCAGCCCTGCATGTCAGACTTATCAATGCAACCTCAGGTGTATATTAGACTCAGGAAAAGAAAAGCCACCTCATCTCATTTCCAGGTTATTCCCAATTTCAAATTTTCTTTCTCCTTATCAGATCAGATGTCCAAGCATGTTCCAGCTTAATGGAGTGTACAACACAGTCATTGTAGGCACAAACAAAGGTTGCCAGGTCACCACATCTAGCCAAGACTGTCAGCCTGAAAAGTGCTATATTGAGAGCCCTTAACATTTATGGGGAGCGTACCTAAGATCTTCTCAAAACAAGCCCGATCACAGAGCTGCTCCATGATCTAAAAGGATCCTGCAAATAAATGGGCAAGAGGCTCTTGGAAGTCTCCTTTAGTGTCCTGGGGTTCATAGGGTAGAAGCACACATCTGACTTAATCTCAGAATCCTCAGTGCTACCCTATAATGGAAGAGTCTGCTTACCTGTGGCCACCTCAAACCCGTATACCAGCTTTTCTTCCTAGATATAAGCACCAAGGAAAATCAATGCTGGTACATAGTAGGCACTCCATAGATATTTTTTGAGTGGATGAGCACATGAACATATATGAATATGCATGTATAAAGCATCATTTTCCTCCAACACTGGCTGATTTCACCTGTATAAACTTATTCTTACCTATACTCCTCCTTCCCTGAGAGGTGGATTCTGGGAGAGGCTGGCATATCCCAACACACAGCTTGCTCTAGCTTGTGTGGAGCCTGGAGGGAGGATGGGAAATGTATGCTTTCATTCTTGCTGTGTCTTCAGAGGAGTCAAGCCTATGGGCCTTGTGACTTTAGGCAAAAGATGCCCAGTTCTGTGTCCCGGAGCTCTGTCCTGTATGCTGGGAGTTACTGCAGCAATCTGGGCAGCATGACTGACAGCTTCTTCTTGTGCCCTGTGCCTCTACAGGCTGCACCCCTCCTTGTCCATGTCAGTTCCTTTGCAGCCACCAGCCATAAGAAGAAGCTCTATGTGATTGGAGGAGGGCCCAATGGGAAACTGGCCACAGACAAGACTCAGTGTTATGACCCTTCCACCAACAAGTGGAGTTTGAAGGCGGCCATGCCGGTGGAGGCCAAATGCATCAATGCAGTGAGTTTCCGGGACCGCATCTATGTCGTTGGTGAGTAATGGCTTCTTATTGATCTGAATGGCTTAGAATCTGATTAGCACCTGGCTGCAGCGCGTCAAGGGTGTGTCGCGGTGTCTCCACTGCTGGCAACTCACTGCCCCTAGGACCCACTCTGGCTTTCAGAAGAGCCGTCAATCGACTGTTTCTCTTGGCAAGAGGGTAGACTTGGCCTAACCAGAAATTGAATTTTAGTGGTTAAGAGGGAAGAACCCAGAAAAATGGAGCGATGCCCACCGAGTTTCCCCCCTCTCTTCAGGTGGGGCCATGAGGGCGCTGTACGCCTACAGCCCCCTGGAAGACAGCTGGTGCCTGGTGACCCAGCTCAGCCACGAGCGGGCCAGCTGCGGTATCGCGCCCTGCAACAACCGGCTCTACATCACCGGCGGGCGGGACGAGAAGAACGAGGTTATCGCCACGGTGCTGTGCTGGGACCCGGAGGCCCAGAAACTGACAGAGGAGTGCGTCCTGCCCCGGGGCGTGTCACACCACGGCAGTGTCACCATCAGGAAGTCGTACACCCACATCCGCAGGATCGTGCCTGGAGCAGTGTCTGTCTGACGGCAGGATGGGGAGCTGGAGAGCCCCCCAGATCCTCAGTGTGCCCGCCTCACCTCTCACTCTCCTCCAGCCCCACTTCAGGCCGCAGGCTCGAGTTTGAGGCCATGCATCAGGGGATCCCCTTGACTCACTTTGGGAGAACCTTGGAAGTCACAGTTTGGGGTCACTTGAGACTGGCCAGAAATGTTTGCATGACCTACCTCAGGAGGGGAGGTGAGGAAGAGTAATATTTAGCATTCAGGACCCACCCACCGTATGCCAGCTTCTGTGCCAGGCACTTCCTTGTATGGGTTCATTTAACCTGGTGAGTGGCTCTTATCACTTCTAGTTTACAGGTGAGGGAACAGAGTTTCACAGAGGCTAAGTGGCATGCCCCTGATTACTCAGATAGCAAGTAGCTACCCCAGGAGTCTAAAACCCAGGTCTTTCAGCTCCAAAGTCAATGCTCTTTCCACCACACTGCCTATCTCAGGCAGGAAAAACAAACAAAAAACCAAAAACAAAACCTGGCTCATGCGGTGGCTCACGCCTGTAATCCCACACTATGGGAGGCCAAGGCGGGTGGATGACCTGAGGTCAGGAGTTCGAGACCAGCCTGGCCAACATGGTGAGACACCCCTCCCCCCATCTCTACTAAAAACACAAAATTAGCCTGGTGCAGTGGCAGGCGACTGTAATTCCAGCTACTCAAGAGGCTGAGGCGGGAGGACCACTTGAACTTGGGAGGTGGAGGTTGCAGTGAGCCGAGATCATGACACTGCACTGCAGCCCAGGCAACAAAAGTGAAACTCTATCTCAAAAACAAAAACAAAAACAAAAACAAAGACAAAAAACTTGGCTCATTTCTTGTTTCGGCAAGTCTGCTAAAAGATTCACTCAGCACAGCAGGGAAATAAAGGTGTTTCCTGTTTTCTTTCCTTTTCTTTTTTATTCTGCATCCTCCCCCGTCCCCGCCCTTTACCAAAATTTAAACCAAGGAGTCATTTGGGCTTCTTGCCAGAATATCTCATAGATTCTTCCACTTGAAAGGTCTGGGGGATGGGTTTGGGAAGGCCTGTTTGCTTTGAAAGAGATGAAAGATGAAATACTTGTATTCTGTCCCTTTTTCTTTTTTTTTTTTTGAGATGAAGTCGCCCAGGCTGGAGTGCAGTGGCATGATCTTGGCTTACTACAACCTCTGTCGCCCTGGTTCCAGTGATTCTCCTGCCTCAGCCTCCTGAGTAGCTGGGATTACAGGCACCTGCCACCACACCCAGCTAATTTTTGTAGTTTTAGTAGAGACAGGGTTTCACCATCTTGGCCAAGCTGGTCTTGAATGCCTGACCTTGTGATCCGCCCTCCTTGGCCTCCCAAAGTGCCAGGATTACAGGCGTGAGCCATGGAACCGCCCTTTTTTTTTTTTTTTTTTTTTTTTTTAATGATCATAAGATGGCCCATTTTGGACCAGAACTGTCATTGCCAGACAGAATTGTACCTTTAGCACAGTCTGGTGCCCTGGCCTCTTAGTGTTCATCAGTTGTACTGCAATGTAGGAAAGATGTTTCTAGAGACTTAAACTACTGTTTTATTTAAAAAAGTAAACACCTGAACACAGCTGGCCTCCACAGGAACGACAGATTCTCCTTGATGGCACACTTTCTAGTTTTTGGACAGTGATTTAGGTCCACCTTCCTGATACCCCATGCTCCTGAAGCCTTCGTTTTCAGGACTTTTAGAAAGCACTTCTAGTTGTTTTTTTGATCAGTGTAGCTCAATTGTGACTTAAAGATCAGAATCTGTCCTTCACTGTAAGAGCTAGAGCTTTCAAATGAGCTCACTGGAAATTCATTCTAATCCCCAAGCTGGAGAAACAGGTTAAGAGATCCTGTTTCATATGCTGTATTTAAAAAGCAACAATGATAACAACATAGTAACTGCATTACCCCATGGACTTTATTTTCATCATATGATTTCAATTCTCTTTATAGAGTTTTATTTCATGTCCGGTGTGGCTTGTTCTTCTCAGCCGTTTGGGAAGTTAGAGTTATTAGAGTTGACAGTGAACTTAATTTTCATTAAACAGTCATGGTTAGAAGAAGCTAATATTTGAAACAGATTGCAAAAACTTGAAAAATTACAGGTGAGATTTCTGTTTGTGCCAGATTATTGAAGATAAATATAAATGTATGTTGGTATGTGAAAGGCTCTGTGCCTTAGGGGCATGACAGTTCAGCTCTCTGCTGTGAAAAGTAACACAGGCCAATAGAAGCATATTTGTGAAATTTTAGAACAAACTATGGCTGACTCATGAGCACTATAATAACCATCAGGAAGCTCCCAACTGAAACAATGTAACAATGTAATCTAGTTCAATTCAGCAAACATTCATGGAGTGCTTCATGTCTGCCAAGCCTTGAGGACACCCATGAATGGCAAATCTCTACGCTGGACACTCGATATGGGTAAATAGGCCACCAGTTAATACTTTTGTTTTTCTTTTCTTCAAGTTAGCTAAAAATGAGATGTATATGAAGTGATGAGGCTGGATCCAAGTCTTGATTGCCTTTCAGGGGGTCATGGTGGTAAGCTGTGCAGTAAAGTCAACCAGTGGCCATTGCTTACATGTTTGTCTTTTCAGGGAGCAGATGGTAGTCCTTTGATAAGACCCATTGGCAAACTTCGCGCCCATCAGCAGGTCAACCCTATGCTGGGAAAGTGAGGATTTGGGATTTCTGTGCTATAAACCTGATTCTAAATGTAGGACCCAAGTTTCTGGACTACATCAGAATATGTAAATGAATCATGGAAGCACTCTTTATGATTTTTTACACCACCAGATATGCAGGTGAATTGTGGAAAATTTCATTTAGCTGACACTCAGGAAATGGGTAGTCCTAATAATGACACGGGGTAGGGAACAGATATACCTTGTTAGAAGATTGAGGATTCTGTATTTGAAGCTGCCAGTCTGTAGCTCTTCGAGAAAGAAAGTTCAAGTCATTTGGGGGAAACTTAAGTAGAGTCATCAGGATTTTAGCTTCTAGCCACTAGCCAGGGATGGGAGCTTCTAAAATCTAAAATTCATTCTAAGAAATAAAGACAAACACATTTGCAGGAAGGTAGCTGTTATAACCCACACCATCAGTAGGGGGAAAACCAAGCCGAGAATTAACCCAGGGACAACCCTTGGACTCAGGCAGGACATGGCAGGATGTTCTGGCTCAGCAGACTGGAGATTGAGGCAGGGCCTGCGAGTGGACAGAGCACCCCTGGCTGGGAAGAGGAAGATGGGGTAGGAGGAGGTCAGGTTCCAAGGGTGCAGGTCTGGAAAATGATATCAGAGGCCCTTGGAGTTTGTGAGCTTGACTCTAGTTCCAAGAAGGGTAAGGGAGAATAAGGGTAAGGGAGAATTCCAGGCAAGGAAATAACGAAGGAACCCACTTCTTAGAGCAGAGGCAGAGTTAGAGCAGGCACAGCATTTGGGCCAACTTGCTGTGGGGCCTCTGAGCTGCTCAGCTGGGTCTCGTGTCCTAGAGGGAAGGTGGTCCAGAGTCTTTGGTGGAGCGGAATCTGTAGATGAGGTTGAGGGACTCCAGTTGCCAAGGTTGATCTGAAACAGGCAGGGAGCTAAGCTTATCAGAACACCAGCAGATTCATGTTCTCTTCTTAGCTTTCATCTATTCTGGTCTCAGTGGCTTCGGAAAACACACACATACACATACACTGTGTCACTGAACTCAAAGCAAACTATGCTCTCAGGGAAATACAAATATCATGTTCTTATAGCTGTAAAATAGTATAGCTTAGCTATTTATAGAAGTTTTTGAGGTACTGTTGTTATTTACTTGTCCTGTTTTATTTTGAAAAATGAAAGCACTCAATAGAATTTTTAAGGTTGATAACACCACAGTGATTTCTTATGTAAGTCCCAACTTGGAGTTGCAAAATCGTTTTTTCCCTTAATACCTGGGTGTTGTATTAGATCTCATAATTTGAAGAGTCAACCTTTATAGAAATCCACATATATCTCAAATATGGCTACTGCAAAACCAGTTTTGACAGGTCAGATTTTCATATGTATAGGTATAAATAGCCAACACTCGGTGAACAAAATCCTTTAAGCATTTTGGTTACATATATTTTACAAATATACATATAGTTGTATATTTTCAGTGATCAAACTAAGGATATTGTTTATAGGTTTTAAAAACCAAACCAATTAAGTTTTTATTTATTCAATAAAATATGCACAGAACAGATGCAAATGTGTTATATACAATCATGAAGTGATTTTTTTTTTTTTTTTTTTTGCTGTTTTTGGTTTATATAAATAAGTAGTGTCTGAACAGAAATTAATTTAGAAGGTGGAAATTTAAAACCTTTCAGTTGGTTCATGGGACTTTAGATAAGTTCATAGGTTAAAATTCACCAGGTTTGATTTATGGAATGTCAAATAGCAGACAGTTTTTCCCTCCCTAAAGATGCATTGCCTTGCTGAGCAAGCTTTTACCAACCCACATGCAAACTGCGTGACTCTCCTCTTGCCTGGCCTCACCTCTTCACACAGGAGACCGCCTTCTAGGTTTTTGATTACAGGTCTGACCTCTTAGCCCGCCTCCACCATTGTTCCTGTGTTGTCTCTGAAGCCCTCCCTGGTTTTTGCTTCTCAAATTGGGGCACATGTAACTTGGGGTATGAGACCCTAACCCTAACCCTGTTATCAATTTAGTTTGTTTTGGTTATAATGCAAGAGTCGTATGTATTTGAAAAGGAAAACTGGAACCTTTAAAGAAATCTGGGGTTCCATGAATAGCTTCAGACCTTTCCCTCTGGGCCTCCCCAGAAGTAGATGTTCTGCCTTAGGAGTTCTTGGTGGAAACCCTTGGAAATCACAGACCCAGCTCCCTCACTGATGGGGAGTGTTCTGGAGTGATCTTGGGCCCTGGATCTGACTGCCACTGCACCAGCTGTGAGTCAAACGGAGTTTTGACCTTAACTTTGCTGCTGAGCCTTCCAATTTCTCCACTGGGTCTAAGTGATAATCTCAAGTCTGGGCAGTTTGGCCAGGGCCAGGCATCTGCCCAGCTTTTCTTAGCGCCTCCCCCTGCACCTGCTGCTCCCTGCTGGTGTATAGCATCTCCTGGACCAGTTCCTTTCCCCTGGACATGCAGCCTTCATACAGGACTCAGTTCTCTCCCACCCTCTGTAGCCCCATGCCTCATATGCCGTTGCTGCATGTGGCCACAACTGAAGACTCTTGGTGCTGGGGATGAATCCAGGTCCGGTCCCACCTTCCCCAGGCTCCCCACCATCAGCGTGGCTGCTTACCAGTCACTCTGTTTTTCACTTCCATGTTTGTTTACTGGTGCCTAGGGATTTTCCTTTTGTTTTTGCACATTCGGATATCTGCTTTGTTATCGATTCCCACATGAAGCGCTCCCTTGAAACCCATGCCCAACCATCTCTACTCATCTGTCTGGATACAGAATATGAGACTTCCTGGCTATAAATTCTTTAGGAAAGTTAAAGCTGGGTAGAGGGAAAAGGGGTGGTCTTTGATGTGTAAGACAACTGGAAATCTC